CCCAAAGTACATATTCACAAGGTATATATATATTTCTCAGTATACTAACATATGGTTTGTGTAAGAAAAAGTGAGATACAGCAGAATTACTGTAAACAGCATGGGATGAGGAACAGTGTGTAAGTTCACCTTGCAAGCCCTTCAGAGTACCTTGTCTACTTGGAGGGGGAATTGCATGTTGAAACTGGATTGCAAATGTTTCTGTATGTGGCAAAGTATTAATGTTTTGCGAATTGCACTCCTTAGTTAAGGCTTGTTCTGGTTGATTGTAAAGTCACAGCAATTCCACAAATTGGTGGTACAGCATTGTGCCTGTAAAGACTCTTTGTGTTGTAGTGCTGTCACTGAATACTTTTCTGTATATATCTGCCTCTTTTACCATTACAATGAAGTAGTTTCCCAGCCAAAAGTGATACATGAACTGTTTGGTGAACAGAATGCCTGTTAGGTAGTTATTCCTGCTTTGAAAAGTCCATTTAAATGGCATAAAACAACGTTCCATTTATATAACCAGATGAATTATCCCTAATAGTAATGTTTGTACAAAATGTAAAGCATTAGATGATTGTCCTAATCTGCTTTGTACCTTAATATTTGTAGTGACTGTAGTGTCTGAAGTCTGGAATATATCACTGGCCAGTTAACCCACATTTATATTTCTACTGCTTGACAATGGTACCTCCCTTCAGAGAAAAATTGATACAGTAGAAGGCCTCTTATATATCCCAGTTTTCTTTTTAAGATATTGTGATAATGCAGTTAATTTTTTATACAAGCTTCTACACAAAAGGATTGCAGTAGCTGATGGATATTAGATTTCCTGGCCTTTTCCCTTATCATTGAGATGAGACTTGATTTAGGGCCATGTTCAGCCGGTCGGAGTGAAGGACTGCGATGATGCTGTACTTTAAAGAAAATTATTGCGAGTAAAGTATTATACTGATGCAGTGATATGGTTAGCATCAGTGTTGGTGTACATTTGGCTATATCCTCAATCCCATTTTGTTTATTATATTTATTACTCTCTCACCCTTCAAACTGGGAACATGATAAAGCTATCCAAATATCTTGCATGTAGATTGATATTTATGTAGGATATCAGTTATTGTTAAGTATAACTTCGTAACTGAAATATAGCACCTCAGCAATAAGCTGCTTTTTCTTAATTGTTAGGAAGTGAAACCTTTTTATCTCACTAGGTTTAATTGGTACGTCAGCGCTGCCTCCCGAAGTAGTCCAATGTGTTCGAGAAATGGAAATTCTTATCAGGGGGATATCCAGATCCGCCTGTTGATTGACAGAGCGCATTTACAGTGATACTTCTGTTTAGGGCAAATGCTGGGAACTGTTCACGCAAGACAGTTACTATTCCAGTCACGCTGTCCCAATCGACTCTGTTTAGTATCATTTTACATTTTTACAGATTCTTATTCTTGTTCTCATTACTCCTTCATACTCTTCTTTTAAGCAAATCAAATAGCATTCTGTTTGTCATAATTATAATGTCTTTCATATGTATTTCCAAACCATTTGTTATAATGCCTGTAGGTAGTCCTGACTGCAAAAGCAGTTGAAAGTATCTGGGATAGATCTTCGAATGCAGAGTTGCATCTATGTCCTTCGTCACAAAGAAATTAATGGGGATTGTCGTTATCATTATTATTTTGAAAAAGTCGGTCAGTGAGCATTGTCAGGCATAAAATGGCTGAGGTAAAACACCTGGACTTATATTTATTTACATATACAGGTGTTTTACAGTAAGATGTCTTGTGGGCTTTAAATCTGCTCCATATGGTTTCGTCTGGGAGTATTGAGTCTGTTCTTTAAATTCATCATCCCAGATCATGTCTCATTTTTGTGTACCAGTAGAAGATGATGGTTTCAAGAACATTTTTCGAAATGGGAATTTTCGCAAGATGCTCAAAATGTACTGTCTGATTTTAATCAATATTTTATTGACTGAGCTTTGTGGTTTTATCACCCCATCAATGGGACTGACTGTTATGAAGCTGAATACCAGTGCAAAATAGTTCCCATCTTGCAAAATAGGATTCTGATGTGATATAGCTTCCAGCCATGATCTACTACTGATGCACAAGCTTCTGAAAAACAAATGCCTGCGGTGGGAATGAACACGAATGTGATGCAGTAATTATGACTCAATAATCCTCTGATTGAGCTTCTTGGTGAAGTGAAAAATTCCATAATTACTGAACTGTTTTTGTAAATGTAATTTCAGTATCCATTCTCTTTTATTTTTAAAGTAGGTAGTAGGTAGACTGCCTGTGTGAAAATGGTCAACGTCACAAAATTTAAACTTGCACTTTTGGACACAAATGTGAAGTTAATGCACAACCTAAAAGTACGAACTTTTGTTTAACTGTAAAAAATGCAGGCAATATCTCCTGTTAATCTGACTATATCTGGACTTCCTTCAGTATTTGTAATTCTTATTAATGTATGGTTACAAATATGTGAGTAATAAATTACTATACTTTTATTTTGCATTTTTCCTCTATCCCTTCAGTAATGGAAAAAGGAATTCAGGTAAATCTTTACATCAAGTACAAGGAAGTGAACCTAGTTGAAGATAAATGTTATATTCTAACAGAAACTATTAATAATATACCGAAACTTATAATGAAAAACAGTATAAAAGCAGCCAAAGAATGGGATTCAGTTTTTAAAATCAAGAAAACCATATTTGTGCAGACATACGAAAGATTTATGAAAGTTATTCCATATTACATAGTTGCGAAAGTTAAGAAAAATATAGTTCTGAAAAAAGAAAAAAAAAATCCAAACATCAAATAATTATTTGGAAATGCCATTAGTCACTTAAACAAATGCGCCATGGCTTGTCTTAAAATAAAGAGCATGCACATATATATAGCTTTAAATTGAAATTTAATAATGTTGTCAAAGTATGTATCATTGAACACTTCTCAATGAGGTCAGAATCTTAACAATGATCTTTTGCCGACTCCTCACAACTGAATTGAGTATTTCCTGATGTACCTTCGGGCATGACCCAAAATCACATTGGTGATCTTCTGATGTGTCTAGCATAAAAATTGCGCATGCACAATGTAACCAAAGTGAGGTAGGCAGGGAACTAATTGAATATTAAAATGCATTGAATATATATTATGCAGTAAGAAAAATCTACAACCTCTCACATTTCTTAAAATTAACTATGTAATCAACAGTGTTCTTGGACTTTACTGCCTCATTTACTGGTACTGTACACTGGTTGTCTCCAGATGTGCCTAGCATAATGTAATCTAAGTAAATTGGGCCAGTAAACCCATCATGGCAGTATATGCAAACAAAGCTGCTGATGCTGAAGGCAAATTACATTGATATTATTATTATAGTGTCTCCAGGAAGAGACATGAATTCTATCCCTCTCTTGTTAATTAGATTTTACCCCCGCTGTCTAATCATGGTCATGAATATATGAAAATATTAGTTCTATTGATGTGAAGATAAAATAACACATGGGTATAGTGTAATTCTGGAACTAGCAATCTCACTTGCTTCAGAAAGAGATTTCTGTAAATATAAAACGGTCTTGTATTTTCATTTTCATAATATGCTCAAGCACAAAGGTTAATGGTTACAAAGCAAAATAAATATGCTACACATCATAGGTCATATAACACTATAAAGAGGAGTAATAGTGAAAAGGATAATGGGTTTAGTTGATGATTATATGTGTTATATGTTAGAAGCCGCATAGCAGTTCAGGAAGAGTGATTAGATCAAAGTTGTCAAAGGAAGAAGTGTGGAGATATGTAAGGATGTCCGTAGGGTAAGGTAAGGGATTCGCAAAGGAGAAAGGGGTTAAGGGCGATTAGATAACAGTTTCGGGAAAATGCCAGGCGGGAGAGAATTCAGGGAAGAGGCCTGTTGTATCCAGGGGGAAGCGGAAGGGATAATAGGGAAGGAACGGGGATGATGCAAGTGAAGCAGGGAGAAAAGGGATGTGGTGGGAGGGAGTGGAAGGAAGGGGTTTATGGAGAACATGAGTAGGAGGAGGATGACTATTGGTAGTGACTTTGAGTGTCGAAGGAATAGGAACACAGAGATTGGAGGATTGATGAGGTAGACATGTTGTCTTGGGTCAGGATTCGAGAGGTTTGAACGTGCGTTCTTCTGCAGTTGAGCTGGATGGGGAGGTCTGAGAAACAAAGGTTTTCTTATAAAGGGGAGAAGAGGGGATAGATGTTTGAGTGTAGTGAGAGGTTGGTGTAGGAGAGGGTGGGATGGATAATTTAGCTTTTCTTGTCCAGTGAGGAAAATGGGTAAGTATCAGGGATATTGGTTGGAGATTGCGGTGTCTGGATTTAGAACGGCAAAATAATTTGACTGGGAGAGGGACAGGATGGAAGTTAGATGAGGAAGAGATACTTTGGGAGATGTAGAAACATTTAGGAAGAATGGGCAATGGCAAAGCAAAAGACATTATTGGAGTAAGGAGAGAAAAATCTCGTTGACGTGCTTCTTGTCTGGTTCCATGTAAGGTGAGCCCAAATTTGAATCTAAGAATTTGCCTATAAAATACATTATGGCACACATGTAGAGCAGTTTGATCGACTATGACCAGATTGGGCACATAGAGGGCACTGGGCTGTGGAACGGCAGTGTTTGGCAGAATGACCTAGCCGCCAACAATTCTGACAGGGAGGGACTCTGCCATTGTTAACAGCCATGTAATGTAATCTTGGCTATTTGTTTTTGGAGGCATTGCTGGGAGAGGAGAGTGTTGTCAGAGTAAGGGGCTGTGTGTGTGTGTGTGGGGGGGGGGTCACGAAAAATCGATCCCATTTGGCTAGACTAAACAAAAATATTCAAGGTGTTTGTAGAGGTGGGCGTAGTAGAAGGACAGGGACGTGTGGAAGAGGGAGTATTGTTGAGAGGTAGCACTACGGAGAGGTGAACAATAAGGCAGTAGAGCAATAATAGGGAGGGTTGGGTAGTTGATGAAGCAAACTCAGGAGGTAGAGATGAAGTAGAGGATGTTGGGAAAGGAGGATCTTTTCTAGGAGATTGAGTATTGACCTTGATGGATGATTTGTGCAGGACTGATGTGATTGAGGAGCGGGTAATAGTAACAGTGTTCAGAGTTATGGTAAAAGGAGAGTCTTGGATCGAGGAACTGGAAGAATTGAAATCAGGGGGCAATCTGAAACAGGGGTAAGCCTCAATGCCTCTATTAATGGCGCAAAGTCTTCAGTACTGGCCATTGTAATACTAGGGTATGTTGGGGCAAGGGTTAAACAACTAAATGGGAGTACCATGCCCATGCCTCCCCAAGACTGTTCATGGCTGGCACAAAGCATGCCTTTCATGCTTTCAACATGCTCTCAGGAAGTGCATTGTATAGGGGGGGAAGACGGATGAGGCCCTTTATAATGTATAGCCTTTAATTGTATTTTCATTATAAAAAGCAATGTATGCCTGTCTACCCGGAGACTTAAAGAAAATTGTTTTACGACAAATATCAAGAAACTGTTTCTTCAATTAATGACCTGTCAAAATACTCTATAATAAAAGTATTGTTCTGAGTAATATGTAATACAGTACATTTTTTTTTTACTCTACAGGTATGAAGCTCGAAAATTTGTAAAGCTTATTTTCATACTAGCAGGCCAAAATCCTTTACAATGTTTCTACAAACGATGTCCATATTCACTTATGTGTTTAAAAGCCTAAAAATATTTTCTCCATTATTCCTAAAACCATTTCTGAACTCATGTTATAAAATGATCACAGGGTTATATAAAGCTGACAAATCATATTTGGCAACATAAAGTTTACCATTTTTTCCTTGTACACTTATGGTCCCAGTTTTAGTTTTGAATAGCAAGATGCAAAACAAGAATTATATGTTTAAACAAAAAAAAAATAATGATAATAACGATGTTATAAAACTATATCTATACTAAGAGCATCTTTAGTTAAACAGCAAGTAAAGGAGGAGAGGAGGAGGAGGAGTGTAGAGGAAGAGAGGAGGAGGAGGAGAGGGGGAGGGGGAGTGTAGAGGAGGAGAGGAGGAGGAGGAGGAGGAGGAGGAGAGGGGGAGGGGGAGTGTAGAGGAGGAGAGGAGGAGAGGAGGAGGAGGAGGAGGAGAGGGGGAGGGGGAGTGTAAAGGAGGAGAGGAGGAGGAGAGGAGAGGAGGAGGGGGAGTGTAGAGGAGGAAAGGAGGAGGAGAGGAGGATGGGGAGGCGGAGAGGAGGAGAGGAGGAGAGAGAAGAGGAGAGGAGGGAGTGTAGAGGAGGAAAATGAGGAGGAGAGGAAGAGGAGAGGAGGGGAGAGGAGGAGAGGAGAAGAGCAGGAGAGGAGGAGGAGAGGAAGAGGAGAGGAGGAAAAGAGGAGGAGAGGAGGATGAGAAAGCAGGAGAGGAGGAGGAGAGGAGGAGAAGAATAGGAGAGGAGGAGGAGAAGAGCAAGAGAGGAGGAGGAGAGGAGAAAAAGAGGAGGAGAGGAGGAGGAGAAGAGTAGGAGAGGAGGAGGAGGAGAGGAGAGGAGGAGAGGAGAGGAGAGGAGAGGAGGAGAAGAGTAGGAGAGGAGGAGGAGAGGAGGAGGAGTGTAGAGGAGGAGAGGAGGAGGAGAGGAGAAAAAGAGGAGGAGAGGAAGAGGAGAGGGGGAGGAGAGGAGGAGGAGGAGAGCAAGAGAGGAGGAGGAGAGGAAGAGGAGAGGAGAAAAAGAGGAGGAGAGGAGGAGGAGAAAAGCAGGAGAGGAGGAGGAGAGGAGGAGAAGAGGAGAAGAATAGGAGAGGAGGAGGAGAGGAGAAAAGAGGAGGAGAGGAGGAGGAGAAAAGCAGGAGAGGAGGAGGAGAGGAGGAGGAGAAGAGTAGGAGAGGAGGAGGAGAGGAGAGGAGGAGAGGAGAGGAGGAGGAGAAGAGTAGGAGAGGAGGAGGAGAGGAGAAAAAGAGGAGGAGAGGAGGAGGAGAAGAGTAGGAGAGGAGGAGGAGGAGAGGAGAGGGGAAAGGAGAGGAGGAGAGGAGAAGAGGAGAGGAGAGGAGGAGGAGAAGAGTAGGAGAGGAGGAGGAGTGTAGAGGAGGAGAGGAGGAGAAGAAAAGCAGGAGAGGAGGAGGAGAGGAGGAGAGGAGGAGGAGAGCTAACCTAACCTCATCTGAATGTTATTTAAGTTGATTTTTTCGTTCATGGGACACAAGTCAACACATATGAGCTGCAAATTTCACAAATGCAGTGTCACCAGCTTGTATGTTATACCATTGAATGAGTCCACAGGTTTCAGGTCTTTTAATAATTTTCCCAGCTATGTGCATCCCTTCAAATGCTGATTCCTGGTTCTCTCTTGATACTAAAGACAGAATCTGCATTGGCGAGTGAGAGCTTGGCCATATGATTGATGTCTCTGAAAACATTTCAGTAATAATACGTAATTCCGCACATATTTGGTGTTGGTATTTATTTACCTTCACACCCATGAAATATTTCATTGGGATAGTGTAGGCAAGCAAGCACCACAA